GAAGAGTCATCATGTTAGTAACAACAAACCCTGATTCATATCATATGGAGGAGCTAGAGAAAAAGAGAGTGAAATGATACCTATCAGACATAGCACGTGTATACAAGATACATGAGTATCTACACGAATTTTCAGGTTCAAGTAGATAGTGGTAGATAGAGGAGAGCAGCCTAAAATATTCGCCTTTATTTTCAGATATTTTCATGTATTTATATCCATACTAAAATAATCATCTGAAAAGCTTAAAAGACTGTTTCCTAATGCTTATTCTTCTCCATTTTAGTGCTAATAAGGCAGGTAGGCATTGTGCATTTTTTCTTTTCAACATAACACGTTCTTTTGTATAAAATTTCAGTGCCCATATGGCTTTTATCATGAGTAAATAACTGCAATGGAAGATTTCATGCGATGCTTTTTGCAATAAATGACATTTTTAGTAGACGAAAATACACATCTACTTACAAAGTAAATGCAAGTAAATACCAGTTAAAAAAATTAAAATGCAAGTAGATACAGAGTAGATAGAATTTGAGTAGATGTGCTATGTCTGATACCTATGATGAACAGTTACTCTGGCCAATCACTTATATACTAGATCTGTAATTAAACAGTCATGTTAAATGAATTCAACCTAGAAATAAGAATTTTTTTCTATTCAAGGTAAAATATTGCTTGACTACATTAAAGGATGATCATGCAAAGACTGAAAGCATTAAATTGGTGAATGTACAATGGGCTTATTCATACAAACAAAAAACAACTATAAAAAATAATGAAAGTAACTCATACGATGTTTGGTATTTATTATAATAAACGAAGGGTTTATACTGACAACAAGACTAACACTTACATGATACATTAGTATTCATGAATACTTTAAATAACAGAATAGGTCTGTTAAAATATACTATATTGTTCATCCTGGGGCCTGCCAATTCCATTAGGAAGGGAAGAGGCTGGTCCGAGTCTAGTGGTGAGACTAGCTGGAGTCTACATTATTTTTAATCTAGACTGAGTCTGGGTCTGTTCACATATGCTGTGCATAATGCATTGTAATTCCATGTTATTGATGTGTTTCATGCAGTATCTATTTTTATGAGTTGCTACAGTATATACCACATAAACTCATACACTCATCTTTTGGCTATTCATACTTATTGCATAAAAATTAATGTATTTCAGTTTATGCACAAAAAGCTTGTTCCTTATAAAAATTGAAAATTACAAGAAATAGTTGCAACTAATAAATTCCTGTCGGCATATGTACTTCTCATATGGCAATAAGATTAGAATGATATAGATACACTCCTAGCTACTCCTACTTATAAAGTATATGCTCAGTTGGTTGATCAATCTACTGTGGCTACCCTAACCTATACAAGATGATTGATATCTCTCAATGGAGAGCAAGTATTGGAATTTGGAGCTACTGCCAAGCTGCCTCCAGTAGACCAGCTAAAGGCCGCCACTCTCACTCATTCAAAGCTGCAATAGATGACAAGAATTCAGGCAGTACTACATCAGAAGAGATAGCGTCTAAACTGCCAGCAGCTCTGTCTCTTATTGCTGGCAGCAGTTCTAACCTGATTTATAATGAACTCCATTTGATTGTTTGTCTATGTATTCTACTTCTCTTATCAGGAGATGTTGAACTCAATCCTGGTCCTATAATTGATGATCAACCAACTTGTCACTCATTTGCAAAGTATCTTAAACCACTTGTTGACTGGAAATCATTTGCTCTTTGTCTTCCTGGAATAACACAATCTGATGTCAATATAATCGATAAAACAAGAAGAAATGCTCAGTTAAAAAAAAGAGGCTTTACATAAGAGATGGTTACAAGTTAATCCTCAAGCATCATGGAGATATATCAATATTGCTTTGAAACAATGTAAAGAGAATAAACTAGCTAGAGATATTGAAAGAAAAACAGCAGTTTCTACTCGAAGGACTTGTAATGATGATATGGAAGTGCTGGCCAATGCTAATCCTGGCCCTATAGTAGCAGGTAAAGTTATAATAAACCTTATAGACCTATAGATACACTACTATGTACACTGCAGGTAATCCAAAGAATATATTAAGGACTCATTCTGATAAACTCACTAAAGCTATTAGCACTAACCTTTACAGAGTATCTGAATCACTGTATGCTGAAGGACTGATACCACCGGATACTAAAGACGAAGTATTTGCTGGAGCAACAGGATTAAATGATTTTAGAAAATCAAGTCAATTAGTGAATGTATTGCAAAAACTATTGGAAGCCTCTGTTAATCCAGAGCAGTATCTTATTGATATATGTCATGTATTAACAAAGCAACAACATCGTACACTAACAGATATTGCTACCTCTATATTACACTGGTTAGGTAAGTGTGTGTTTGTACATTGTCAGTGATCAATATAGTCATTATATCTC